CCTGAACTTTGAGATGAGCGTCGGGAGCAGTTCGGCAAGTTTAGCGACGTGGACGCGCAGGCGCGGCTACTTGCAGCAGGCGGTGTGTCCAGAGGTGGGCATGCACAGGATCCGCGGCCACGTGGCATCGCATGAGCCTGGATCGCGATAGGGCGCGGGCCCCACGTTCGCAGCTGGCGGGGCAGGCGGGCTCGCGGGCGGGAGGCGGAGCACCAACCGCGGCGAGCCATTGGCATTGACAGAGCTGCTCATCAAAGCGAAGGGTTTCCAACGGAAATATATCGCGGACTCCAGCTACGCGGTGCGAGGCGCGGCCACATTGGAAGCGGACATGGCACCGACGACGCATGACGGCCCGTGGAAGATCGCCAAGCAGGAGATCGCGGGCAGGCAAGCAGAAGTTTCCAAGGTCGAGACCCGCACGTTGGAGGCGGAGAGGATCAGCTCGGGCCCCGGCGCGATCAACTACGCGGGCACCGCGTTGGCGGACAGCTTCGCGGAGGACACCGCGGAGCAAGCGCAGGCGCTGGCGGCGCAGGCCCGCCGCGCGAGGTGGTCAGAGGGCATCGCGGCGCAGATCAGGAAGAGCGCCGCGGCGACGCCCGCGGCGGCGGCCACAGCGGAGCCATCGCAGCCGCCGTCGAGACAGGCCAAGCGGGAGGCCGGGGTCAAGGAGAAGCGGTTGGAGAAGCTGCCAGCGAAGACGAAGCACAACATCAAGGAGGATTTGAGCAGGAGGCACTGGAAGTGCAGGAGGCGCGGCCCAAAGCGCCCTCGAGTGCGTCAGGGGGCGCCGCCGGCGCCGCGAGCCCGCGGCGGCAACCAGTCGGCAGACCCGACGCATAAGACGGAGCTCGACAGGAGCTTGGAGGCACATTGCTGCACGAAGTGCGGGGCGTTCCTGAGGGAGACGATGAAGGGCCTTGCCAAGCCGCGCGCGACGACGACCAAGCAGGCTGGCAAGCATAATCTAGCGCGGATCGAAAAGGGCGTCATATCAGGGAGCGCTGCGTTCGCGAAGCAGGACCACGAGGGCAGGAAAAGGCAGCTAACTGCGGGCGCTGGCGCGCCGCTTGCACGCCAGGCCCGGCATGGCCGAGCCTCGGCCAGGACATTTGCAGGAACGCTGCCACAAAAAACTGTGTTGAGCATCATAGGCACATTCATCTCCATCTTGAGACCCACACGCATCGTCCTTTCTCATCGTCACCATGGTCATCAGCATCACCATCAGCACCACCATAAGCATGGCCATATTCACTTTCATAATCATTATAAACGCAATCATCCTCATGGCCACCAACATTAGCATCAGCACCATCACTACCATCGCCACCATCAGCATCATCTCATCATCACGATCACCAGCATCATCATCTCCAGCATCATCAGCATCATCATCGCCATTATCAACATCAACGTCACCATCATCATCATCATCATCATCATCAGCATCATCATCATCAGCCGCATCATCCTCATCCTCATCATCATCCTCATCTACCTTCGCATGAGCTCTATTATCATCATCGCTCTCCCTTACTCCAGCCATGTCACTCCTCCCCCCTTCTCCGCCTCCTGCCACCTCCCCCTCCTTCTGCCCTCTCCTCCTCATCTTCTGCCCCATCACCAACATCAGCATCAACACCATGATCGTCCTCATTCTTCCGCCCCCCTTTTTCCACACTTCCCTCGACCATCTACCCCCGATCTTGCGCCTCTCGAGCTCGCCCCCACAGGGTACCGCTCCTGCACCTCCACGGGGGCCCCGGAGGCTGCGCCCCAACGCGCCATGGCGCGGCGTGACCGCATGGAAGGAGAAGGACGGCCCCAGGTGGATTATGGAGGCCTCTGGGGGCTTGCGGGGCCATCGGGGCGAGGGGTCTCGAGACCCCGGAGACCTCGACATGTCTTTGGGGAGAGAGGGAGGGAGGGAGGAAAGGAGGGACGGAGGGAAAGGAGGGAGGGAGGGAGGGCGGAGGGAGGGAGGAGGGAGAGTGGGAGGGACAAGCTAGGCGCGCTGGCGCCACATCTGACATCCTACCCATACCGCCCATCCTTTTCCCAGTGCGTAAATGTTTCTCTATCCATGGATGCGTGTCTTAGCCGACAAGGACCCCTCGAAAAAAAGATCCTGGCGAAGGGCCAAGCCATATGCAATTGTGGGCACCGGATGATGAAAACAACGTTCGATGGAGTTCTTTCTGGGGCCACGAAGCGTGTGAGGGATGTGCCGACACGTGGCGGGAGCGCCCTGCGAACCCTGCCATTGCGCCTTCGGTGGAGTTCCTCATGGGGCCGCGAAGCGTGTGAGGAGTGTGCCGGAATTCAGCGGGGCCGCCATGCGAACCCTGCCATTGGGGCCTTCCGCCGGGCTCCCTATTGGGGGTCGCCATGCGAACCCTGCCACTGGAGCCTTTGAGCTCCTTATGGGGCCGCGAAACGCGTGTAGGGTGTTCCAAGATGGGGCGGGGCCGCCATGCGGACCCTGCCACCGGGGCCTTCAGTGGAGCTCCGCATGGCACCACGAAGCGTATGAGGGGGGTACCGCAATGAGGCGGGGCCACCATGCGAGCTTTGCCTCTGGGGCATTCGTGGAGTTCCCCATGGGGCCACGAACTGTGTGAGGGTTTCGCCGAAGCTCATGATGTTGTTGCTGATGATGATGCTGATGCTGATGATGGTGATGATGATGGTGATGATGATGATGATGATTATGATGATGATGATGATGATGATGATGATGATGATGATGATGCTGATGATGATGCTTATTATCAGTATCATTATGATTAGCAATGTTATTAATATTTTTCTACTGATAGTATTAGTTCTAGTACATTATGAGCGACGTATGATGGTTGACGATTGATGTTTGATGATAAATGGTCGCGTAGGTGCCGAAGGACAATCAACGTCTACGTGGGCACAGGCGGGGAGCCGACCACGCTACTGTTCAGGACCAGCATGGACCTCGCAGTGCACTGCGGCGAGTATTGCTGCACCCCGCCGCTTGCCGTTGCACCTGCGAGTGAGACAGGAGCGACCTGTCCCAGGCACTACACGCCCGAAGGATACGAAACGATGATGGCCAATGGACGCCATCGCCCAAAAGTGGGAACCGCCGCGAGGGAGCCACAGCCTGAGGGAGCCGCTCTTCATCCTCTTGGTCGAGCGCTTTCCGGTCGTCGTACAGTTCTTCCATGGTCGCTTTGCGGTTCGCCAGCGTAGGATTCGTCGCGCGTGGGAACCGCCTGCGTGGGAGCCGCCGCACGTCGGAGCCGCCTGCGCGGGAGCCGCCGCCGAGGGAGTCGCCTCCGCGGGAGTCGTTTTGGGAGCCGCCGCGGGAGGCGCCGCCGCGGGAGGCGCCGCCGCGGGAGGCGCCGCCGCAAGGGCCGCCCCCGACGGAACCGCCGCCGTGGAAACCGCCTCCGTGGGAACCGCCGCCGCCGAAATCGCCCTGGGAACCGCCGCCTTGGGAGCCGCCTTGGTGAGAGCTGACGCGTCGGGGGTTGCTGTGAAATCCGCGGCCGTGGGACCCGCCTCCTTGGGAGCCGTCTCCGTGGGAGGCGCCGCTGTCGGAGTCGTCTCCGTGCGGGAGCCGCCGTTGCGAGAACCGCAGCTGTGGGAGCTGCCGCCACGGTTGCCGCGGCGGTAACTAGGGGGACCCGGCTCGAAGGGTCGCCTTGGTGGGGGCCGCCGCCGTGGGAGCCGTGGGAACCGCCACCTTCGGAGCCCCGCCGTGGAAATCGCCGCCGTGGGAGCCGCCCGCTTCCGAGGGCCCGTCGCCGTGGGAGCCGCTTCTGTGGGAACCGCCGCCGTGGGAATTGCCGTGGGCCCGCCTCCTTGGTAGCCGTTTCCGTGGGAGCCGCCGCCTGAAGTAGGCCGCCCAGTGCCGCAAGTAGGAGCCGCCACGAATAGGGCCGGACTTGAGCACCACATTCAACAGACAAGCCGACTGGGAAGAGGACGCGGTGGCCCCAGATGGATAGGCTGAGCCTATAGAGTGCCCGGCGCCGATGCCGCCCGCGCACGAGGGACACGTGGAGCCCGACGGGGAGATGTAGGCGGACGTGAGCGTGAGCGTGAGCCGCTGCACCGCTGTTGCCAGAAAGCCAGGCCAGGTGCAGGAAGATGATGGTTAATGTTTTCGTGGGTGCCGAAGGACAATCAACGTTTACGTGGACACAGGCGGGAAGGCGACCACGCTGGTGTACAGCGCCAGCATGGACCTCGCAGTGCACTGCGGCAAGTGCTGTTGCACCCCACCGCGTGCCGCAGCACCTGCGAGTGAGACAGGAGAGACCTGCCCCAGGAACCACAGGCCCAGAGGATCCGAAGCGATGATGGTGATGATGATGAGGATGCTGATGATGATGATGATGATGAGGAGGAGGAGGAGGCGGAGGATGGTGATGATGGTGATGATGGTGATTATACGTGTGAGTATGATGGTGGTGTTGTCAACTCGTCGACGCTCTCGAAGTCGTCAAACTCTCTCTCGAAATCCGTTTCCCGTCCTCGGCCGAAACGTCCTCGACACTATCCCCGATCTCGCTCTGCGGGCGGGGAGAAGTGATGGTAACCTTTTGGTCTGCCGAGAGGCCTCTCGAGCTAAAGATGGCAATGGTGCTTGCTGTCATGACTGCTGCTCTGCACTACGTGCTGTACACATGCTCTGCCATGCCTGCTGGGGAGGGTAGTATCTAACATATTATGTCAGAAAACCTTTGAAATACACTCGCAACTGCATTGTATGGAGTACAATTCACACTGGTGAAAAAGGGAAAGAAAACTGATTAAACGCTCACCTTTATCTCATGAAAGAAAATCCTTCGCAGCTGCTCGTCGTTACATTGCCTGCTGTAAACACACGCTCGAGAGAAATGCGCCGGTCGATCGTCGCAATCAACCTCTCAAGAGAATAGCTTCATTGCGAGGGGGGGAAAGGTAGGAGACTAAGAGACAAGAGCAGGATGCAAAACGTGTTTTGCCGGGGCTCACTCACTTTGGCCTTTCAGGCCTGCACGGGGTTCCACCATCTCTTTCGTCACTTCCCAGCCTCGGGAGAAACCCTGCGTAGCATGAACATGACGTCCGTAAACTCCGTCGGTCTGGCCCACAGATGAGTAGTGTACGGGCCCTTGAACTCCAACGTTCCACTTGATATTGCTGATCTTCACCTTCTGCTCACGTTTATGCTTTGTCTTTCCTTCTGCCTGCTCGGGGCTTGGCTCTGGATGGGTCGCGTTCGTCGCCTTCTCGGACCACTTGTTGTACGTCATGTAGCATACTGCGAATAGGCCCACGATCATCAGGATGGTCGTTATGATTCCTTTGATGAACGTGCCGAGGGAAATCCTGATCACCACTTGCGGTGACATGGTCCACTCGAGCTCCATCACTGCCGTCGCCCTTGCGTCGTAGATCTCCACCTCGCTGCTGGCTGCTGTCGTCATGGATGCCATGGTCGCCATCGCCGTCATTGTGCTTATCTTCGGCCTGGTGTGGCGAACCTCTTGGCTTCCTCCTGTCGGTCCTTGACGGTATTCTTCTTGGCTGCCTGGAAATTCTCATCGAACTTCAGGCTGATCGTCCCAGTGCGCAGCCTGTCTGCCAGTAGTTGCCGCGCCGACAGCTTGGTGAAGCCGTCCGCGAACTGGCGCTCCGAGCTGACCCAGTACCAGCCCGTAGCACTTGCCGTCATACGCTCTTTGAGCACCTGCACCTCGATGCCCGTCCTCTTGTCGTCGAAGTTGTGCACGTGCGGCTTCTGGGCCGCGTCGTGCAGCGCCTTGGCGTCCACCACCAATGCACTCCTGCCCAGCACCGTCATGGTGCCGTTGAGCCTCGGGTCCCTCGTCGGGTCGAGCATCAGGCTGTAGTGCACCTTCACATACTCGAGTGCGTCCACTCCTCCTGCTGCAGCTTGGGCTTCACTCGCCAATGAGGACCTGCTCACCCTTGGTAGTTTCCACGATCGCCAGTCGACCACGGTGTACTTGACCGTCTCGCCGCTCAGCACACTCCTGTGCGCTGCCAGGATGAGGTAGCCTCCCTGCGAGCTTCCATCACGTCGTACTGCCCATGCTGCGTCCGTCATACAAATAAACGCCACCTCGTTGGGGTCGTCGCATATCTTGGGGAACAACTGGCACACGTCGCTGTTGGCCTTGGCGAACCTAAGGTCTTGTTGGCCTCCACTAAGTCCTGCGCGGTGGAGCTCTCGTTAATTGTACCCTGTCCGAGGCTCACGCTGCACTGCAAGTGGGGTGCCGCCTGGTTTCTGGGCCACGCCAAACTGCCCATAAGTCCTCATAGTTGTCGTCGCTCGCCCTCTGTGATGGCCAACTTGTGGTCGCTGGCCCTGCTCTTGGTCATCGTGATCGGCTTGAGTCCCTTGATGTAGGTCTCGCAGCTCATCTGATAATCTCCGTTTGTAGCCTTGGTGAGCTGGTTGCCGCAGAAGTCCATGGACGAGCCGCCGGCCACGTTCAAAGTGCCAGGCTCGGTGTCCTCCCACGTCCGGAAGTTGAAAACCTTCTTGAGCTCCTGGACGCGCGCCGAAAAGCACGCCTGGCCCTCCTTGTTGCTACCACCTCCTAGCATGTCGTCCACATGTAGACCGATAGCGCCGTCGAACACCTTCACATTCGTCTCGTCCAGCCGGTAGCTCAGGAACAGGCAGGGGTCCAGCGGGTGAACCACAAAGCCGCACCCGATCATGCGGTCCGTGGCCTCCTCCCACCAAAGTCTCGGCGCGTCGCTTAAGCCGTACATGCTCTTGAGCAACTTCATCCGTGTTCCAGGTTGGTACCCGAGCATCTTGCAGGCCTCGGATGGCAAGAGTACAGAGATGCCACGGTCCGAGCGCTTGCCCTGCAGGAATGCGGTGCTCACGTCCGCCGTGAACAGAGTCCAACCATGGATGCGACTCAGGAGCACGATGAACGTCCTGCTCAATCTCGTCATCGTCGGAGAAGACTTGGCCAGGGTGCCCGCGATGGCGTCTGGATCGCGAAACCCTTGGATCACCAGCCGCGCCTTGGCTCGGTGGCTTCCGTCAGCGTTCCTCGACCACTTCAGCAGGAACCTAGCACGCAGAACCTTCTTGGGGTCCTCTACCTCCTTCTTGTCCTGCTCCCAGACCTGGTTGTCAAAGAAGCTCTGGAGCTCCGCGCGCTTCGCCTCCGCAAGCTTGGCCTTGTCCTCCGCGTTCATGTTCCTCTCGCTCAGCTCGCCAGCCGCGTAGCACTCCTCGAAGTCCAGGTTGAACGCCATGGTGGCGGCGTCGTAGTTCCAGCCCTTGGGTAGGACCTCCACGCTCATGAACATCACGTCCTCTGCGATCTCCACTTTGTCATAGGGCCCCGACCGACTGACGCTTCTCTGTCGGTCTCGCTGGGATGAGAACGTACGTAGTGGTGCCATCTCCGAGGCGTCCTGACTCCGTCGCATCTCCTTGAACCTTGCTCTCGCGTCGGTCACCTGTTGATCTGGCAGCTCAGCTGGTTGTGGCTGATCTGCTGGTGCTTCTCGCTGTTCTGGTCGTGGGAGTAGATCGGCCTCGTCGTCATCTGGAATGGCCTGGTTGGCGGCCGTCGTTGTAGGCTCCTCGTGGCTGGCAGGCCTGGGCTCCGCTTGGGGCTCTGAGCCCTGCGCCGATACCTGTCTGAGTTGATCCGCCATGGCCTGCTCCACCGTCGGCGCACTCCCCGTGGTTGGGGTTGGTTCTTCCTCCTCCATCGGCTCGCTCAAGCGGTCCTCCTCGCTGGGACCAGGCAGCTGGGCTGGCTGATGTCGAAGAACTGCACAATACCTCCACGTCGTAGCCCTTGCAAAGCGGTCTGTGCTGCCTGAAGGTTTGCCGGTCGCTTCGGCTCGCCGATCCGCTCCACGATGGGTCTGATTTGGTCTGGGCTGCAGCGTAGAAGACTCCCGCCATGCGTAACCCAGTAGACCTTGGGCTGGCCACTCTCTGAGTCCTCGCGCAACGCCACGGTAGCCGGCCCCCTCCAGCGTGACTTCTGGAGCCTGCTGGCCCCGCGATCGCGCCAGTAGTAGCACTCCTCGCCCACGTTGACCGAGTCGTGCGCGTCACGTCGCTTCCGCAGGAAGGCCCTGCGAAGCCTCTCCGTCGAGTCCGCCCTGATGAATGCCGTAGCTGCGGCCACGCGCCGCTGCATCGCCTCCTGGAAGGTCTCCCCCTCCAGGTACGCCTCCGCTGGCGTATGTAGAGTATCGGCGGACAGGGAGTCGTTCAGCTCGGGGTTGTAGCCCAGGACCCACTGTGCTGGACTGTAGCCCTTGTGGTGCATCATCCTGTTGATCTGGTTGGGCACATAGTCCAGTGCTGTCTTCAGGTTCTCGACGGTGCGCTCTAGGCCGGTCTCCTCGAACCAGAGCTCCGTCGTCTCGCGCATCGCCTGGTGAGCTCGCTCCACGGGGCCCAGTGCCTGATGAGCCTCGCCAGGGGCGACTCGCATCTTGATGTTGCGTTGGCTGGCCCAGTCCAGCATCTCCTGACTGCATGCTGCGCCGCACTCGTCCATTATGAGGTTGGTTGGGGTCCCGTAGTGCCGAATCCACTCCTTCTCGATGGACTTGATGGCCTCGGCGGTCGTCTCCCGGTTGACGATCCTGCACTTCTGGAACCGGCTAGCTCCGTCCAGCACGTGCGCAATCCTCGCCGAGCTTGAGCGCAACTTGAACTCGAAGAAGTCCAGGTACAGTGCCTGGTTGAACGTCGTCCAGGAAGTTGGTGCCGACTTCGGTGGCTGTGATGCTCGCTTGCGCTCCGCGCAACTGGCGCACTTGTACTGCTTGGCGCAGGCGATGACTTCTTCTCTGGCGCCCGCTGTCGTCAGCATCCTCACGAACACCTCCATGCCGGGGTGGCCCAGATTCTTGTGGAGGCGCTCCACGTACCCGAACACGTTCTGGCCGAACTCGCTCTTGAGCATCTTGTTCTGGTACGTCTGCTTGGCCTCGTTGCTGTCCACCGTCGTGTGGTATACATATATATATGTATTCCACCGCGTCCTCGCCCTCCTTCAGGCCCGACACCAGGACGTCGGGGTCCTGTCTCGGGGGCTGCTCCAGCAGGTCACTCAAGATCTGCGCCAGGAGGGGCCCGTAGTTCTCGGCGAAGCTGGTGCGGTGCAAGTTGGTGCCTGGAATCTTGCCTTCAAGGTGGACGTGCTTATGCTGTTTATCACACTGGTACTCGTTGAGTCCTAGAGCCATTCCTCGTCGTGTCGTGCGAACTCCAGTGCGTTTCCGAGCCAAGCCTTCCCCTGGAATCTCCAGTCCTGTCATACACTGGTCGAATAATACATGATGTCCGGGTAGCTCGTAAAGTGCCTTCGTCCTCCAGCTCCGTGCCGTAGCTGGTTGCTCCAGGTGAGCATCTCGGTAGGCTTGCCACTGCTTGTTGTAGATCTGCTTGCAGAACATCAGGTGCGTGCGATGATGATCCTCACGACGCTGCTGCAACAACTTCTTGTCCTCGTCGGTTTTGCAACCTCGCTCCTGCATGATCGTCCAAGCCTTACACTCGGGGCTGATCCATATGTCGTCGGGCTGCTCCTCGTCGATCAGGTTGAGGAACCTCTTCTGTATGCTGGGCTTGCTGAAGTCCCAGCCGTTGTGCACTCCGAACGACCTCGCCTGGTGTCCACGCTGTCTCAGCTCCTTTGTCAGCTCCGAGTTGCCGCCATAGACCTCCCATATCTTGCGCTTTCCTTTCTTGACGTCCTTGGCCCTGCTCAGCTCCTGGTCTATCTCCTTGCTGGCCGCCTGCAGGGCGTCCTGGCACTTGCGCAACTGCTTAACGTTGAGGTCCTTGGCGATATGGATGTCGTCGTCTACCCTGGTACCCTTGTTGTCGATCTCGACCATGTTGCCGATGAAGTCCACCGACTCCTCGTAGGCCAGCACCTCGTCTCCAAGGAAGGTGTAGGGGCTGATTGGGTGCTGCACGCGAACATGGTCCAGCATATTCTGCGGCAACAGAGTCTGGTCGGCACGATCTTTCATGCACTCATCGTAGCTCTCCAGCATGTCCATGATGAAATGTCCTCTCTTGGGCTGCTGGCGTAGCTGAAACCACTTGCCGTCACCGTCCCAGCATGCCCTCTTGTTCTTGTAATCCACGACCATGCCCAGCTCCTCCATCACCGGTCTGGCGAACAGAAACGGCGTACGTCCAGGGATCACGTAGGTAAGGATCTCCACGAACTTGCCGCCAGGGAAGGAGGGAACCATGACACATGCGGTCGCATCGCCGGTCGCGTCGTTGCCGTACCTGAAACTCTTGTTGCACGGGAATATCTTCAACTTGTTGACTGGGAACCCTTTTGTGACCAACTGCTTGCAGTAGCCCTTGAGCGTCTCGTGGCCCACTATCACGCTGGTCGCTCCACTGTCGCGTATCGCCTCTGATGGGTCCAGCTCGGTCGAGTTGTACACGTCCTCCGTATCGTCGGTGACCATCCTCGCCTCGGCCGCATCATCTCCGACATTCTGTCTCTTGCGGCTCGCATGTGGGCAATATCTGGCGAAGTGACCTCGACCTCCACATCGTAGGCATATAGTCTCTTCCGTCGCTCTGATAAGTGGCAGGGATGATGGCTGACCTCGTCCAGGTGAGCCTCTGCCATGTCCGCTGGTATACGTACTCTTGCCATGTCCTTTGCTGGTGCCTCTCCCAGTCGCCTTTCCTCTGGATGTGCCGCGTGCCGCGCCTCGTCCTCGAGCCTGACCGGCCCTGGGGACGATAGCCGTTGTGCTTCTCTGTGGTGGCGGCACCATCGCGACAACTGGGTAGAAACCTCTGGCCAATCTCATGTCATTCATCTTCTGTCTCGCGTCCGTGTAGGCTGCCATGATCTCATCGTACTGGTCCACATCGTACGTCTGGTCCGGCATGGGGTTGCCACTCAAGGTGGCCGTCTCACTGTAGTAGGCCGCCTCTGAGTCGAAGCCGTGGCCTGCGTATGCCTGTTGATCCTCTGCAGCGTCCTCATAGTAGTCGTCTTCCTCGTACCCGTAGTGGTAGTAGGCATCCTCCTGGATCTCGTCCTCTTCGTCGTAGTCGTCCAGGTTGTAGGCTGCTGCTCCTGAGCTCGCTCTGGTGCTTGGGAAGGAGTCTAGGCCAAACGTCTTCTTCATCTCGCTCTCTACCTTGTCCAGCGACAGGTCGTCGCCAACCTGGCTGGTGACCAGCTGCTTGCCCTCTCTGTCCAAACCTGCCCGTCGTAATAAGAACCAGCCGAGCACCTTGTCTGGTAATGTGACGTCGTGTGCGCGGATCTTCCGCTCGGCTGTGCGAAACCTCGTGAGGTAGTCCATCAGCGTCTCCTTTGGCTTGCGGGCCGTCTTGAAGAAGAACGTCTCGAAGTCTGTCGGCAGCTCCGTAATTTGGTCATACTTGTATGCCCTGTCGAGCGCATCTAAGATGGTCCGCCAACCTTTCTCCTCCTCGAGCTTCTCGATGTCCAGATCCTCGACCACCTCCCACGCTCGACCATTCAGGCCCTGCATGATCTCCAAACCCACTGTTCTCTCTTGTTCTCTGCCACGAGCTCGAGCTGCGAAGATCTCCACCTTCCGTCGGAAGGTCTTGTACCCGTCGATCGAGCCGTCGAACTCTGGGGCTCGACCCAGGAATCCTGAGGAGAGCTGCTGTCCGTCTCCAGCTGCTGCGGCACACCCAAGCGCGCCTCCTGCTGCTGCTCTTCGTCCCCCTTTGCCGTCTGGTGGACCCATTGTCGAAGTACTTCTCTGTGTCCGTGTTCGTGTCCGTGGAGCTACTGCTCCGCTACCAATGTCAACTCGTCGACGCTCTCGAAGTCGTCAAACTCTCTCTCGAAATCCGTTTCCCGTCCTCGGCCGAAACGTCCTCGACACTATCCCCGATCTCGCTCTGCGGGCGGGGAGAAGTGATGGTAACCTTTTGGTCTGCCGAGAGGCCTCTCGAGCTAAAGATGGCAATGGTGCTTGCTGTCATGACTGCTGCTCTGCACTACGTGCTGTACATATGCTCTGCCATGCCTGCTGGGGAGGGCAGTATCTAACATCTTATGTCAGAAAACCTTTGAAATACACTCGCAACTGCATTGTATGGAGTACAATTCACAGGTGTTGGTGATGATGACGGCACTGGCGATGATGATGGCATTGCTGGAGATGACGCTGCGGATAATGCTGGTGACGGCGATGATGCTGATGATGATGGTGATGGCGTTGATGGTTATGCGCGTGTTGTCGGTGATGATGGTGGTAGCGACGATGTTAATGATGATGTTGGTGATGATTATGGTTATGATGGTGGAAGGGATGATGATCGTGGCAACGATGATGTTGATGACGCGGCTGACGGCTGTGATTATGATGATAGTGGTGATGGTGATGATTAGGATTGTGGTGTTGACTCTGATGATGTTAATGATGCTGGTGATGACAAAAGGAGGAGGGGGAGTGGCTCATCACCACGGCCGGTGATGATGACGACAATGATGGTGATGATGCAGATGATGATGAGCATGGTGATGATAAGATGATGATGCTGACAGCGAAGGTGCTGATGACTACGATGGCGGCGATGCTGATGCCGATGGTGACGATAATGGTAACGGTGAGGATGATGATGATGATGGTGATGGTGATGGTGATGGTGATGATAAAAATTGTGGTGGTGATGATGGTGGAGGGAGGAGGGGGGGAGGAGGGGGAGAGGGGAACGCGGGGCATTGTCTCTTCAGAACGAAGACCCAGCACCACACGATGGTTGAGTCAAACATCGTGTTATGCGCAATCAGAAATTGGGAGCTGCCGACATAGGAGGAGGAGGAGGAGGAGGAGGAGGAGGAGGAGGAGGAGGAGAAGGAGGAGGAGGAAGAGGAGGAGGAGGAGGAGGAGCAGGAGGAAAAGGAGGACGAGGAGCAGGAGGAGAAACACAACAAGGGGATGAGCGTGAAAACCCAAGTGGAAATAAGGTGGAAGGAGCGTGGAGCAAGGAGGACCAAGGGACGGTGAAGGGAAGGAAACAAGGGGGGCGACAACGATGAAAATGAATTCGGATCCAGGAAAATGGCCCGAGCGGGGGCGAGAGCGCCATTCTGAATGACGGGAGCGAAGCGCCGACCCGAAAAGAAGGCCCACATCGCAGAGAAATGTCAATTCTGGAACACCGACGACGATCAGATAGTGAACAAACATACCAAGAATCACGTGTTAATGTTACGTCTTCGAGTTTAGAAGAAGACGGCGGTACGCGGCGAGGGCCGGACATCTTCTGGACAGAGTCAGGGGAGAGAGGAGAGTAGCGTTCATACGGGGGAGGAGGAGGAGGAGGAGGAGGAGAAGGAAGCGGAGGAAAAGGAGGAGGACGACGGTGAGGATGGCGACGAGGGAGAGGATGAGGCCGAGAAGGGGAGGGAAGGAGGGAGGAGGGGGAGAAGGAGGAGAAAAAGGGGAGCAGAAGGGCATGAGAGTAGACGGGGAAGGAGGAGCAGGAAGAGGAGCAGAACGACGACGACGACGGACCAGAGTAATTACACCCAAGTTGTATCAACAACGCTGCAACGCACGCTCCCGTCCCAAGTCCCCTTCACATGAGTCCGTACAAGCAGTTGAATCCTCCGTCACTTTGCAAGGCCCCCCCTGAAAGACGGGTGCCCCGTGGGCCCACAATTCACGCTGGCATTCCGTTTGTAGCGAAGGTGCATTCTTTTTTCCCGACTTCAGAGGTAAACGACAAGGTAGGGTCAAAGAGTTTAAGGAAGTGCCGCAGTGCCCAACGACAGCCCCGCTCTAAAAAGAAACCTTCGTCCGTCCGTGGAATTTGTCGCACACCTTTTTGTTATACGTGTGGTGCCAAGTGCTGAGAGAGTCGCAGGCGACAGCCCCACACAGAAAACCAACCACCCCCCGTCCGTGCAATCGTTGCGCCATGTTTTAATTTGGATTGCTTATATTACTTGTAAAAGGAAGTATTGGGCGAGAGCTCCATTCTGAAAATCCGTTCCCTCCATACGTGAGGCTGTTCGATGTTTGAAGGTGAATGCGCGCGGGTCTAATGCAAGAGCTCCATTTCGAAAAAGATCCACCTTGCATCCGTGCAACTTGTCGAATCATCTGACTTCCAGACTGCGGACGGTAAGGAAACCTCTGGCAACTCCTGCGGCCCGCCCTACGACATGCCTGGTGGTGCGCCAAGGGAAAATTGCTCGTAAGTATGAGAGATCGAGGAGTAGGAGGAGGAACGCGAGGAGGAGGAGGAGGAAGAGGATGAGGAGGAGGAGGAGGAGCACGAGGAGGAGAAGGAGGGGGAGCAGCAGCAGTTGCAAGAAGAGGAGGAAAGGCTGCAGGATGAGGAGGAGAGTGGAGGTGGAACTGGAGGTGGAGGTGGAGGGAGGGAGGGCGGGAGGGAGGGACGGAGGGAGAGGGGGAGGGAGGGAGGGAGGGAGGGAGGGGGGAGGGACGGAGGGACGGAGGGAGGGGGGAAGAAATGGAGGAGTTTCCAGGCCCTGCCTCGTGGCAGCAGAAGCTCCACCTCTGCCCGCCCCAGGGCTATCCGGCGGGAAGGCTGGGCGCGGTTCGGCTGAGGCCTCGACTGCTTGGACGAGACGCCGCAGCCGCCGCTGCTGCCGGCGGAGCCAGGGATCCCAGAGTCGCCGCACGGGCACTCCCTCGAAGAGGCGCCCGCGAGCCTCAGAACTTCTGTACGTCTCCTGTCCCTGAAGCAATTTGCCCGCTAGATTTCTACATGTTTCTAACGGCCGCTGGGGAAACCTGGGCCCCCCAAATCGGTTGGCCCCTATCTTTGGCCCCCCACCATTGGCCTTTCACTTTCACTGTGGCCCCACATTTTGTGAAATGCGTCAAGTTGGTTAGGGCATTCTGCCGCAAGGGTGTCATTGTTGTTGTTCTCGCAGTCTCTCCCCCTCTCGGTCCGCACAGAAGCATCCAGTCACGATTTGGTCCGCCCAGGTGTGGCCCGTGGTCGTTTCGCACATGGGGTAGAAGGGCGTTCCCGGACGCAGCGGGTCAAAGGATATGTAAATCACCAAAACCGTCAGGGGGGCCGAGACGGGGACGGAATTGGTGGGGACGATAGTTGGCCTCAGCTCCTGTCCATTCTGCACAAGAATTGCTGTCTCTCTCGTTGCCAATGTTGTCCGATCGTGTCGAAGATGCGCCCGCCCCCCCGCCTCTCCGTCAAGGAACAAGCAAGGATAAAACATCAATGCTTGGATAATCGCGCCTATTTCTTGGGCCAGTTCTTGGTCATCATAAATCGTTCCAGGGCGTCCCAGAATGCTCACAGAGCGTCCTGGTTCGCTCTGAAGCGGCCGCTGCCCCCGATGCACCCTTCAGACCCGCCAGCTCTCAGAGATGCCCCATGCATCTTCATCCGAGTTTATCTTCATTCAGCCTTCGCTGAACTCTCACGTCGTATTCTTCGCAGCGTGGACCGTGGACCCCTGGAGGTCAAGACCCCTTCCCAAGGACCTTTTCATTCCGAGTCGTGTTTGGTCGGTCCTGGGGCCCAGCGAGGGCGCCCAGAGGCCGAAACAAATCAAGAACCATCCGCCATGTTCTTTCCCAACGGGAGGGGTGCCTGGGTTTGTCTTGTGCGATTGTTCTGGGTTTGGCATGTGCCTAGCATGTGCCCGACATGTGCGGCAATTTTTCCCACGGACGCGCACGGTCGAACTGATTATTTATCCTCCATTCGCCGAATGTCTGGAGCCCGAGGACCCAGCGAGGGCCCCCCAGAGGCCGAACGCGGCCCAAAACGTACCGTCGTGATCTTCCCACGGCGAGAGGATGTCAGGGCCGGAAGGGAATCGTCATGGTTTTTTCCTGGATGGGGCATATATCAATGTATCAAGGGTGATATGACCTTCCGACAAAGTTTGCCAATCCGCCCCCTGTCTTCTCTCCTCTTCCTCCTCCTCCTCCTCCTCCTCCTCCTTTTCCTCCTCCCCCTCCTCCTCCTCCTCCTCCTCCTCCTCCTCCCCCTCGTCCTCTGCAGGGGCGACGTATTCTCAGGAGGCGAAGTCCCGCGGCAAAGGCCATCAACTCGGTCCCCCTCATCTACATCGTTTCGATGGGTTCTTGAACAAATTGCACGGGCGTGGGCAGGCGCTGGGGCAGAGGACGCACGCGATGCGCACGTTGTGGCACGGCAAAGTACGTATGGTGCGAGCTGCGGGCCCCAGGCCTGTACGACATCCTGCGCCTTTTCATGATTACAAAGTGCTTCGACATGGCGACGAGGAAGCTGCACACGATGCTACGGGGGGTGCCGACACCAGTCGTACCGCCTGAGTCCGACGAGCAGCCCTTGCCTTCGCCATTGGTGACCCGCGGACTCCTGCACAAGGCGTTCGAGGAGATCTTCGCTCGCAGGGCCTTGGGCGCGGCGCCGCCAGGCGCGATGGAGGAGATGCTTCAAAACGCGGTAGACGCTAAATGTCCAAAGCGATGGCAGATTCCCATCGCCTCGATGCGTCAGAACGGGGTGGTCCTGCCACCCCTTGGCTTGGCGTCACACAGTGCGTGCTTGGCCGTAGGGCCCATGCTCCTGGTTTCTGTGTTAACCGAGCCGTGAACTGGCAGGTGCGGTGCACACGTGCTGCTGCCTTTTCAGCGGGGATTTCATATTGTCGAGTGGCCGCTGGGTGGCTGCGATACGTCCCAGCGCCTCGAAGTGTCAGAACGGGGGGCCTTCCGCCCCTTGGCGCGGCGCTGCGCAGTGCTCGCTTGGCCGCAGGGCCCGCGTCACGCGTTCCTGTGGCAGCCGCGCCGCTAACCAAAAGGTGCGTCGCATACGTTTTGTTGCTCCGCTGGCGGGGATTCCATACTGTCGGCTGGGAGATCGTCGCAGCGCCCCGAAGCGTCAGAACTGGGGACCCTTCCGCCCCGCGGCGTGGTGCTGCGCGGTGCGCGCTTGGCCGCGGGGCCCGCGTTCTAACGGCAACCGCGCCACTGTCAGGAAGGTGCGCCGCTCGCGTGTAGCTGCCCTGCTGGAGGGAACTACATTTTGTCTGGACGCTTGGTGGCTATCACGCTGGGCTCGGCATACATATCGCGTTGCTGGGGCGGCGGCGACGCGAGCACTACGGCGCGCTGACGCAGTACTACTTTGTTGTGATGCTGGCGCTGCACGCCGTTGCCGTGGACGACCTCTCCCTCTCGTGAGCCCTCGTCTGCGGCGCGCGGAAGCCCGCTGCGCTTCCCCCCGCTGCCCCCTCCCCCCCCCCCTTGCCTCTGCCCTCCGAATGTCTCTGTTTCGGCACATCCCTCACGCGTTCCGTGGCCCCATAGGGAGCTCCACCGAAGGCTCCAATGGCAGGGTCCGCATGGCGGCCCCGCATTTTGGCGCACCCCTCACACGGTTCGTGGCCCTATAGGGAGCTCCACCGAAGGCCCCAGTGGCAGAGTCCGCATGGCGGCCCCGCATTTTGGCGCACCCCTCACACGGTTCGTGGCCCCATAGGGAGCTCCACCGAAGGCCCCAGTGGCAGGGTCCGCATGGCGGCCCCGCCCCATGTTGGCGCACCCCTCACACGGCTCGTGGCCCCATAGGGAGCTCCACCGAAGGCCCCAGTGGCAGGGTCCGCATGGCGGCCTCATTTTGGCGCACCCCTCACACGGTTCGTGGCCCCATAGGGAGCTCCACCGAAGATGATGCCCACAATTGCGGTATTAACCATTCCTTATGGTTGGGTCTTTCGCCAGGCTAATTAGCTACGCTCCCGCGAGGCCCGCCCCCTTGCTGGTCTGCCTCGGGAATTGCACTTCTGGGACTTGTGGCCCCGAGCTCTCTGTCTTCTGGGGCACGCGCGCACCTCGTGCGTCGGTGCGCACGAATCTGGGGCCTGGCCCCCAGGCCCGTCGGGGCCCGCGGGCCCCCCCTCGAACCGTGCGATTTGAACCAGTCGCCCGACGGGCGCGCCCTCCTGAGTTTCACGAATAACGATATTCAGTTTTGAACCCGACGATTTAAACGCTCCGGCTCACACGCAGGGCTTGCTCGCGGCCACGTTCGCTCCGCCGCGGCAGCGCCGGCGAGACAGCGGAATGCAGGCCCATAGTCGTGTCTCATATTATCTTGCCCGTCTTCCTCTCATGCCTCGCGGCCCGGACCGCGCGGGGCGCCGCGCGCTCGGGCCGCCCGCGACGCGCGCGCCGTCGCGGGGTGGCGAGAAGGGCCCACCGCCATCGTGGCCCGCGGCTTGACGGGGGCCTCCGAGGAGGCTGCAGAAGAAATCGCAGCGACGCGACGACGATCGACAGCAGGCCGAGGGCCCCATGGGCCGAGGCGGCAGGGGCAGCAGCACGGCGCCGCCCTGGCACGCTGGCGGAGGGCGGCGCTCGCCGAGCACGGGCCGCCAGCGGCAGTGCAGCAAGCGCCGCCGAGGAGGGTGCCACGCGCGCCCCGGCTGCCCGGCGGGCGAGAGTTGGGCCCGGGCCAAGCGGGCGGGCACTCCAGGTTGGGAGGGCCGCAAGCAGCGCGACTGCAAGCGGCCCAGCAACGACGACGAGGCCGAGGCCGCGGAGCTCGAGAAACAGGCGCCGGCCAAGCTGAGGTTCGGCGCCGAGGGCCTGCGCGCGCCGCTGGCTGCATGGCGTCAGCCCAGCCAAGAGCTCGCAGGACAGCACGGCAGCGGAGGCGGCGGCGCAGCTGGCCAAGATCCCAGCCCTGGCGCCTGCATCTTCGGCGACCCAGCCCGCTGAGCCCAAGCTAGGGATCAGGCTCGAGCCCGCCGCGCTGCGCTGGCGCCAAGCTCAACGTGACCAGGATGACACGGCTGACCAGGGCGCGCAGCTGGAACAACGCAAGAAAGAGTTAGTCGGCAAATTGGACGAGGCCATCGCCGAGGTCCTCGCAGCCAAGCATGAGCCCAGCGCGCCGCAGCAGGAGGTGCGCGAAGCCGGAGGAGGCCCAGTCGAGCCAAGTGCACCATGCGCGCAGCCAGCCGACGGACGGGGTGAGTTCCCCAATTTGCACCAGGTGACGTCGACCTCCAGGACGAAGCCAGCCGAGCCAATTATCAACCAGCAGCTGGTCTGGCCGCGCGAGCAAATCACATGTTCGACGCGCGCAACATGGAGGGGGGCTCGGACACGGAGGCGGCCGCGACCCCGCGCGAGCTCCAAGCCAAGGCCTAGAGCCATTAGCGCCGACGTGGAGCAGACGGCCCAGACGCAGCACCAGTCCAACAGGCAGACGCAGCCTCGGCCGCAGAAGGAGACGCGGAGGCGGCGGCGGGCGCAAGCAAGCTCGACTTCTCCGGCCCAGAACAGATGGCCAAGCGCATCGAGCAGACCGCGGCAATCAAGGAACGGCAGAAGGTCGCCGCGGCCGAGCGCGCAGCAGCCCCTGCGCAAGCGACTGATGCTGCCGATGCCGCGGCTATTCCTCCTCGCGCCCCCAGCGGCGTTGAGCCAACCAGTGGGCGTCGGCCTCAGCGGAGGAGGCGACGGGCGCGGCGCGGGCCCGCGGGCAGGAGCTGCCGCAGACACGCTCGAGACATTCAGCGAGGGGGTCGGCGAGAGTAGCAGCCGGCAGCCTGGGGGCTCTCCCCCAGGGCCCGCGCCAAGGAGGCCTCCTCGGCCGATCCCGACGCCCGGGCCGGCGCCCGAGCCGGCGCCCAGGCCGGGCGCCCGAGCCGGCGCCCTGGCCGGC